CTCTCACCACACTACTGCTACTACTACTGTGACATGTGATACTGACAAGACTTATAAGCAGTATATAGGTACAGATATAAATATGTATATTGTCCGCAAGAATATCGAATACGGAAGAAACAGAGATAATAGCGAAGAGAAGAAATGAACGATTATTGTGAACAACAATAGAAAACATGAAATGAAGACAAAGAGGTTCAGTACGGAAGATATGTGATTTGGATATATATATAGTAGACGTATTTTGCCTATGCGTGTAAATCGATTTATAATTTCGTTGCCAAATCCTTTTGTGTTCTACCTTTACACTACTGCTGCCCACTCTACTACTAATTCTATCCTGCTATTGACTGGTGTTGTTCTTAATGTACACCAATATTTATGTCTTCCACATAACTAAAAATTCCTTGAGAGAACTGGTCAAAAAGCGTAGAGAAATCTAACAGAATGATATACCTTTACCTATATGTATAACAAGCGTCGGTGGCATAGCTGTTAGGCCGCTCGCCGACCATGCACATGGTCCGGGGTTCGATCCCCGGCCGACGCACTCCCTTACCTCGCTAAGCCAGAAATAATGCTGGTAAAGAGGAAAGGTTGGGCATGATGCTAGCAACTCCATCCTGTAAAAATAAACACTGCTACAGAAAATTCAAGCCACTAGCTTGAAGCCCTATGTTCCACTGGGGAACGTGAATGAAAGAAAAAAAACACATTAAGTAGAAAGACAGTATCAATGGAACACGTGCTGATGATAATATCAAACTAACAAATAATTATTACTACAGAAGTTTATTCTACATAATTTGTCTTAATTACCACTGAGACAGGATAAACAACACTAGACAAGCCTTCAGAACAAGTTCATTCGGCGTATATTCCAGATAATAAAAATAATAATAATTATTATTATTGTTAATCTTATAGAACTTTTTTTATATATTATACATGGTGACCTCACAAAAATATAGTTTTTTTTGAAGTAAATACATTTTATAAAAATGTAGTAGTGTACAAGTTGCAGGCCTTATCAGAATATAATTACTAAGTCTAATTGTTTACTTAAATATCAAAATGAATAACATAATTTTTTAAAGTGAATTCAACCGCCCTTTTTTGTTAGAATAATGACCAGTGTATGAAGGCGCTCATCTGTACACAAGAAACTGTCAGTTATGATCAAGATATTGTCGATCAGAATTAGCGTGAAACAGTCATATAATTTAGTGAGCAAGTTTTGTTTTAAACAGATGATAAATGAAGTTGAAATGAATCTCTGGATGACGACAAAATTTGATCCCGTGGTGAGTAGCTAGTACCTCGACACTCTATCAACTAAGGTACAGACAGAATTACGGACAAAGTTTTAGTGTCACATCAATTAATGAATATTTCACTTGACAGTGATTGAGTCCTAAAGGGGAAAACAAAACACGCTTTTTTGAATTCCACTGCACAACCCATTCATAAAGTTAATAACCTTAAGACATATTCAGAGCATTCACACCGAGAGCGACTGAACTTGGCTATTTAGATAAATCTAGTGGAGTTGAATGACTTGACTCGAGAAAGTGTTTTCCAGGGGAAAATTTTGTCATCCTGTCCCCGCCTTTCACATGCTCTTGTGAAACTGATTACGTTGAACATTGTAAGGCTGTACTCCGGAAACGCTTTTGGTGGTTGGTAAAAGGAGAGCATCAATTCTGCCTGTTTGAGAAAAGGATATTTTCACAATGTTATAATTAAAACTGAAGGCAGTAAATGGTGGTGGAATGAGGTGGAAAGGAGAAGAAGAAGAAGAAGAAAGGCAGCTATTTCATAAAAATAGTCAAATCCGACTAGTCGACATTTTTTGTCGGTATATTAGAAAATAAAATCCAACTTTTATTTTCTCACACTAATGGTGGTATGCAGTGTATATTCAGTTCTGGGTATATTTACCCAACTTTTATCTATTCTGTTCTGTTTGTTTTTCCTGTTCTTATTATTGTTGTTGATATTTTAAAAGATTCTAAATAATTTCATCAGAATAATAACAACAGCAGAAAGATAATTGAATTACATTCATCAAGGCAGTATCATAAAAAAATGTATATATGTATTAATACATTAATGCGTGCCGATATATTGTACTTATATGTATAACTTTGGTGATAGGGTATGTCCACCACAGAACTATCAACGCGTGCACACACACATTCCACACCCAGAAGTAAATAACATGGCATACACAGCACAAATCTCTGTTCCAATCTCACCAACATTCTAAATGTAACCATTTAACCTGTCTGCATTACTGTGTTCACAGACAATGTCACAGAAATGGATTGATATATGAATACGATTAGTATTTTTATAATAATATTAATAATAATACCGATAATTTGTGCTTCCATTTCCCTCCCCCCCCCGTGTACGGGTGTGTGAATGTGTGCCTTTTTCGTGGTTAATCTAATGGACAGAAGACTAAGTAAATATCTGAGTAAATAAATAACAATTAATCAACTAGCATAGATATATAGATATATATGTAGTATATCGTATATTGTTTATTTAATTTCATTACATTAGATTATTATTATTATTGTGATGATGATGATGAACGCAACACAGTACTCTTTATTTACCCTCATCATTGCAATCATCCTATAGTGTACAGCCTCTGTATAAACATGTATGTGTGTGTGCTTGGGATAATGACCAATAATGGTTACAAAGCTTCAAATAAGTCAACAAAAATAAAACAGATATTAATTTTTTTTCTTGAAAATTTCTCTGGGTGGTCAACAGTACGCAGTAGTTCGTGAAGAAGAAAGTGACACCAGTGCTTCATAATGTATATTTTAAAAATTGTAGACGAATGAAGTAAGTATTCAGACATTTTAGAAATAGGACGCCTAGCACTGAAGTTGTTCGCGCTCTTTCGTTGACTAATTTTTTAGCGGAACGCGTAACAATCAATATCTGTTAATGCATCGATCCGTAGTACGGACATCTCGACGATGTCCGGAAGTAAACATGATTTTATTTGGTGGATAACCTCAAGAACTTCATCTTGATGCTGACGAAGAACCTCTAACTGCTACTCACTTCTTTTCAAAGTCTTTATTATTGATTATTAGGTCAGTGAAAGCATCAAGATTAAACCGTCTAATTTTAGAAAAAGCAACACCAGTGCATATCACTTAGCCAAGCATAAAAATCAGTCTTGACCACATTAAGACTATACTTCTCTAACTGAAACTCATTCAGAATGCTACATTAGTGCCTAGATTCTTTCTCAGAACATTAAGCATATACTAGAAAATGCTTAGATTACTCTTAGTAGTTGGTGAATATATATACCAGGAAACTTCAGTTGACCACAGTTTGACACTTGTTCATACCGATCAGTACAGCATAAATGAAATCCACCTTACTGACTTATTTTCGAATTATTTAGTAAAAAAAGGAAAACGTCCTCCTACCATTTAAAATTTCTGCAATTCACTAAATGAAACAGTGTCGAATGTGTTAGTACTGTAAGAGAAATAAAATATTGGAATTTGAAAGAATTTGTGCACCAAATTCAAATCTGTAGTCATTTTCGGGTGTTTACCAATAAATACGGTGTTATTAATATCACAAATAATTCCACATACTATCTGTCAGTGATAGTTTTAAAGTAGGAAAATCGATAAATCGTATATATATATATATATATATAAACCACGAGTGTATATAATTTTTTACAACCATGAAATTAATATTTGATAAGTAGTTTACATTTTCTTTAACTGTCTCTTCATTTTCAGCCTACTGTGCAAATAAGTGAAAGGGTTAATTGTGAAATCATTTACTAATATTACTAATAAGCTTATAATTACTATTATTATCTTTATTATTTGGTAATGATGAATACATATACATATTTGAGTGACAAGTAGGAGGTGGAGTAGGACCGAGGAGGGTGGTCAGTGTTTATGCTTTGATGGATGCATAAAACTGACGCCTTTATTATCATTATTAACAACAGTATCATTGACATATATATATATATATATATATATATATATATATATGATACATAGAAAGGACATTTTATATTTCTATGTTAACCTGCTGAGATGTATATTATTATTATACAGATTATTTGTCAAATAATAAAATATAGTGTCATTTTTATCTACCTGATGTTCATAATACACACATAATCATTATTTTTCTTCTAAATATGCTGAGGTATCCGTTACAGCGTGAAGGTATAACTTACTTTACTTACAAATATACACACAGAATACTTCTGTCAATCGAGAAGATATCATAAAGAAAGTCACAGTAAAAATTCAATACCATTTGATGAAAATTGAATTCATCTTACACTAATCGATAGTTCCAAGTCATTAAAACAGAAAAAAAAACTTGGTAGCTAATTTTACATTTTCTTGTGGTTCGTTATACTGGGACGAAATGTTCAGGTGTGTGCTGTCATGTTGACAAGTAAATAACTAATACCTGCTGCACAAGAGGTGGTTGTCATAGCCTAGTGGGATTTTAAATGATAGGGGCTAGATTCGAGTCGCAATGGGGACACCATCGCTCAGACAGAACTGCAGGTATATCCACCTGACGAGTTCCGAACAGGATGAGATGCGCATTTTGGATTCCACTGCTAGTCACCAATCACCAAAATATGAACAAATTAGTTGATTAGTGACAACAAGTTTTTTAGATGTAAGTTACTGAAGATTCCTAAACTACGACGAACCGACTAACCACTTTCGCTATTAACAGTCAATATATTAAGATTTTAAAATCGCTGTGAACCACTTAGTAACACATTTTCCTCAAGAATTATCTCCCAATATTTATTAGTTTCAGATGAAAAACTGATAGTAACTAATTTGTTTGATGAAATTGTTCTTAATTTTAATAGAAATACAAAAAACGTGATGCCCTACATAATTGACCTTCAGAAAAGCATGAGATAAAATCAATAAATTGGAAACTGAACAACCTACCTTGACTTGAAGGTACTGATCCCGTGGTAGACATTTGTTCTTGAAATTTCATACGTTTAGCTTCGAAGAGATTTGAAGGATAACCATGTAATGATTCTCTAAATTTTCTTTTGTCTGATAAATTAGATGGACTCTTATTATTACTATTATTGTTATTTTTCATATTTATTCCGGCATTTTCACAAGAATTACCAAGCGTATTGATAAAATCAACAGGTGAATTAGTAGAGTTCATTATGTCTGTAGCTGTTGGGAAGTTGAATAACTTTGAATTAAAGCTGTTTAGCATTCCAGTTGGTGTTGATGTAGGTGATGATAAAGTAGTAGTCGGAGGTTTTAGCGATAATCCCTGTGGTAAAGGAAATCCATATCCAGCTGCCGCAGCTGCAATTGCTGCTAAGTCGGCTTGAGAAAAAGTTGAATTGTTCATTGGAAATGTTTCAGGGATATTATTATTACTATTATTTGTATTGTTGGTACAACTATTACTATTTATAGTTTCGTTAGCCACTTGACTACAAACGCCAAACCACTTACTGCACTCCTTTAGTATATCACTGCGTATTGTTGACGATGTTACTCTGTTAATGCTGCGTAAATCAGAGTTATCTTTGCAACTAGAAGGATTAAATGTTGAATTATCATTATTATTTGCTAATGAATTAGTCAAAGTCATGGCAGATCGACTATCAAATGAACCAACCGATTTTGATTGGTTCATTGCAGATAATATCATTTGTGGTGATAATAAAGGATTATTACCGAATTGTAATGAGGTATGCAGAAGACTTTCAGCAAAGTTGAATAAATTCAAATCTGATGTATTATGAACTTGTGTAAAATGTATGTGGAATAGTTGAAAATTTGTAAATTTTAAACTGCACTGTGGACATGTCCAAAGTTTCAGGTCATCTGGTAAGCTTGACTCTTGTGCATGTGTAGTACCAGTAGACATTGCTGTTGACATTGAAAGAAAATATTTAAAAAATGGAGGAAATGTTTACTGAGTTCCGGAAGTAGTAATTTTAACAAACAACAACTAATATCTAATGTACAATGAGAGGTAGCCTAATGAATAATACTAGGTTTCAATTGGAACAGTGTCACTCACTGGGGTACAGGTACGTTCCAGTTAACGAGTTTCAAACAAACGAGATGAAAGGTACTCCTTGGAGCCTAATACTAGCCACCATCAAATAATTAACATCATGTCAGCCTTAAAGGATTGTTGGAGCATCCATACTGGAAGCTGACGTGTCGACGGAGACCGAATGGTCTACGGACTGGCCACGTAAACCGAAGTTCCTGGGTCCGAACCCAGGTGGGTTCATGGGTGAGCACTAGTGAACGGTCTCAAACAGGGTTGAAACAGCTATGCAATACCTCCCACTCGTTTAAGTCAGTACTTCAGTGGAAGAATGCTCGTCCACCACGCATATGGTCTGAGTTTGATAATCTGCCGACGCATTCCTAAATACCATTAAGCCAGTAGTAAGTAGACCACCCGGTAAAGCAGGACGGTTGTGAATGTGGCTAGCGAACCCACCTTGTGAAAATGACGTTACCACCTTTACTGAAACGTCTAAGCTCAAGTTTGAAGCTTTATGCTCCCATGGGGACATAAGTGAATGAGATATATCGGTTCGGGTGACTCAACCAACAAGGAATTCAGAGTGACAATTTCAAAATGAGATATTTATTGTTTATTATCATTTTAGCTTTATCTAAAGATGCCGAATGCAAATGTCTAAGCAACCGATAAGTAGACGATTGGTTTTATTTTTCAGAACATGTATAACCGAACTAGATCCATTTTCTACATCAGCATGTTTCAATAGTTCGTCAAGTTCAAAGTCTAGAAAATTCTGATACTGACAGACCTAACTACTACTACTACTACTACCACTTCAATTATTACAAATGCTATTAATACCTCCAGAAGTAGAACCGCAAACAGGTCATAACCTGAGTTCTATATACCACTACCCCAATAATTATCTCAGAATCCTACGTTTGTACATGTGCTTGCGTATGTGTATAGCATAGATAAAAACTTGAATTACTCCTTATTGGTTTGTTTATTAGATGCATCACACAGTCAGTGAAACAGTATTATTTACTGGATGACGTCTCGAACAAAATTTATTGTTCATAATCATATCAATTATAACCACACGACTTGGAAACTTCAGTTTTATAGTTTTCTTTGTTCTCTCTTATTTGTTGTAGGGGTAATAGAATTTTCCAGATATCTGGGACAGGTGTTGAATCATTCCTATCACACGTGTTGATTTGCAGTTGATTCGATAAACAAAGCTTCTGTTGTCAATCTCTCCCTCCACCCAACTGTGACATTAGATTTTAAAACACTCATCCTATCCCATCCTATTTTATGGTTGTGTGTGACTGCATGTAATGCTATGGTTGAACTATTCTGTAGATTTCTTATCTTATTTGAGTCGATCAATCTAGATTTTGCTAGGTTTTTATGTTCTGCTAGTCTGACTGCCCCTGTTCTACTAGTTTGACGTATGTATTTGACCTGACAATCATTCCAGCAGTGTATTAGATAAACTAAATTGTTTTGTGTAATTGGCTCCACAGGACTGATCCTCTAACCGAAAAAGCTTGTTCCTAATTGAGTTTCTGGGTGGTGTGAATGCCAGTCACTTTTATTCCTGCCTTGTTAAGAATTCTGCTTAAGATTTCTGGGGTTCCTTCTTTGTATGGAATTACTACTGATGATTTAGATTCCTGTCCTAGATATCTGGAAAATTCTATTACCCCTACAACAAATAAGAGAGAACAAAGAAAACTATAAAACTGAAGTTTCCAAGTCGTGTGGTTATAATTGATATAATTATGAACAATAAATTTTGTTCGAGACGTCATCCAGTAAATAATACTGTTTCACCGAGTGATACATCTAATAAACAAACTAATATGGAATTACTTACTGCCACAGTGCCCAAGTTTTACACATTTATTGAATTACTCCTAACCTCGAAGAATAATTATATATATATATATATATATATATATATCACCATACCTATAACTAAACTAACTACCTATGTGAATTAAAGCTGAGCCCATATATTTTAACATTTTGAAGATCATGTTCAACACATAGTTTTTATAACATTCATTTTATTGGTGCCATTATATTACACCTGTAATATAACAATCGTGGGATCGAGTTGAATGCATTTCGGTGAAAGGAAAATCAGCTTTATGTACAAGATTATTTTTTCTTTAATTTTGCCCTTTTTTTTTGTTTTTCCAAGGGGAGGGTTCTTCTTTATTTGCAAAAATCGGAAATAAATAGGAAAACAGCAACTAACTGGTATATTGCTCTCAGGCACACACATAAACACAAATATAAATATAAACGGACGTGAATAACAAGAGAGGGTACTAGTTACGCATACTAGTAAACAATTCCATTGAAGTATTCGTATTTGGGGTAAGAGCGACAGTAGTAGCATGACTGCAACCCTTCTATGCAAAATAATAGATTAACGCCCATCACTGGGATATTCATAGTAATATGATAATTAATAATAATAATAATATCAGCAGTAGTGATAATGATTGCATATATTATAATAAACACAGATGGGAATAGAATTTTGACAGTATAACGAAAGTGATTTATATTTCCACTTTATGTGTATACTATATGCCCATGCATGTGTGTTGGATGCCACGCCTTCGGTTTGTTTTTGACTTCAATAGCGCCATTTTATTTTGCTTCAAGGCACTGCGCGTATTTTGATATCTTACAGCGTTATATATATATATATATATATATATATATATATATATATATCTTTGTTGATTACTGATTTCTGTTCAGCCTATTCATGCCTTATCCAGAAATGGATTTACAGTAGCTGGTCCTTCGATAAACACACATATATATATACACCTAGAGACAAACGTACACAGAAGCTGAAGATTGAAGTCATACTAATGTTGTGTTTCTTAGATGAAAAATTACAAATAATTTTACCTTCTTTTTGATGATATTTTCTGATGTGTTCCACGTGATAATTATTTTAGAAAACTTTTTTACGCACTTTATTAAAATAAAAGAGATTGAACATGTAACAAATTAACCTGTGTTGGTGTTAACCACTTTTCACCCGGTGTTGTTGTTGTTGCTGCATTTCTCATGAAATGTTCCTCATTTTTAAACTTAGTAGTGAATACTGTACTGGTATCCATTATATAATGGATGGGTTGAAGAGGTAAGAAAGAAACAACTTTAAAAGAAACCTGTATTTCAGTAATCATTTGGCAGTTGTGTAAACTGAAATCACTCACTAATATTCGATTGTTTTTATGTTTTTACCTATGTAAAAGCTCAGAGCGAGAGTGTTTAACTTTTTACTAAGCCTCATTTTCATTTACCTCACTAAGTAGTTAAAATTGGCAGGTGTATCAGAGGCAGACTCAATCTAAGCAAAGTTAGATGGTGAATGGTTCCAAACCTCAGGTAACCAGACAGTCATTTCGTTTTTGTTTACACAGTGAGAATCTATAATTCTCACTTCACTACTAACTAATCTCTACACTTCACAAATATCTTTATCAGCAATTCTCTAACTATTGGTATAACACCTGTCAGATGCTTTGTGATTTTGTCTACTGGCTTCCAGTGACTGCGTAGGTCAACTGATACATGTTACGAAAAACCACATTGTACTAATTTTGATTTATCATGTGGTTGAATAAGTCTATCGGAGACAGTATTCTGAAAAAATAGCATCTGACGCTCCGACGTCGAATTGTTCGCAATAGGAGCCGACATCGAACATTACAGTTCAGTCAATTAACGGGAAAATCAAAACTGAATTCCAAACGATTAGTAAGGAATGCTTGTCGCATAAGAGGTGATCTAGTGGGTAACGCTTTGGTGTCCTAAATGATGGGTATTGGATTCAATTCTCAGTGGGGACATCGTCACTCACTGGGAATGCAGGTACATTCAAATGACGAGTCACAAAGGGACGAAATGTTCATCCTAGATTTCACTGTTAGCCGACATCCACCATAAATACAAGTTAATCATACAGTGTTCGTTGACTATACAACAGTATATCATCGGGAAATCGTGGTCGTGTCAGTAATTAATAACCAAGAAACTACAAATTAGAACAGGAGATTCCTTCCTGTGTTTAAAAATTTGTAAATACTGTGTGATCCGTTCATACATATATACTAACTACAGAATATAATAGTAAGTTCACAATTACATTTGAATTACGTGCGTCGGTGGCACAGTGGTTAGGACTCTCGCCAACCATGCACATGGTCCGAGGTTAGATCCCCTGCCGACGAACACCTGATATCTATGGTCGGTCTGCAAAATTTGGGCTACCGATATCCATGCTGAAAATTCCATACTTGTACCAAATATACAGTGTGGAATCAAGCTGTAATCAAAAATAAAAAATAAATAAAAACCTCACAAACAACAATAATAAACAATATACGATTAGAACTTTAGTGTAACAAGACTTGGAATCTAAATATACATTTATATTACCTAGATATGTATTAGTATTAATCAATTCAGAAAAATATTTCACTGTAATTTAAAGTCGATTACCTTTAGAAGAAATGCCTTCCAAACCTGTACTATTCTGATTGTATCTGTCTTCTTTATTTGAAACAGCTGATAGGAATGGCAGAGGGTTTTGTTCACAATAAGCGGGATTCCACAACTGTTCATTGTTCATTTTGTCTGCTAGATGGGGATGTATACTGTTATCATGAATTTTACTGTTGATGTTACTACTACTATTATTATTACCATTATTAGTAATAGGTGTACTGGAATTAGCCGTAGCAACAGTAGTAGTGGTATTCGTAGTATTTTTAACTCCACTAGGTTTATCATTTGAATTATTCTCGCACGCCTTCTCAGTCATATAAGCTGTTACATAATTAATGACAACTGGTAATGGTAGCATATGCACAAGTGTTAAATGTTTAATAAGATTTTCAATTGAATTATGATCACTATTTTTAGTAGTATTTTCATGATCAGCTGTTATCAGTTGACAACAGATTTGACATTGTATTGACTCTGATGATCGAATCAATTGTTGATATTGTGATTCTGATTTCTTTGAATTCATTTCAGGCAACTTTAACGATGACTGCTGCAGTGGTGGATAAGCTGAGGTTTGATGATAAGATGAGAAACCAGTAAGTGAGTTAAGAATATTTAAGAAGTTCGTATCATAGTCTGAAGGATTGAAAGGTATAATCTGAGATGTCTGGTACTGCTGTTGTGTTTGGGGTTGCAGAGATGGAGTTGACAAGGATGTTGGCTGATGTAAATTCTGTTCTGACTGCCTTTGGTGCTGACGCTGTTCTTGCTGTTGCTGGTGAAAGTTAGCATAAGGATCAGTTAGCTGCTGACGACTTTGCATAAATTCATACATTTGTCGTATACTCCCATAGAAATTATTAGCAGAATTGAAAGACTGACTAGAGTTCAAACTTTCACTGATACTATTCACTTCGGTATTCGGATGAATTGAGGCGTATCGGCTGTTATTCATCATATCAGTGTTGTTACTGTCCCCCTTTGGAAGACCCTTTGGATGCAGGTCATTGACGCTAGTCTGCATTACCATTTCTGGAGACTTTATAGGATTACTACTGTTCTGTGTAGAGTTTACACAGCCCTGTGGATTAAGATTATGTATCAAGGAAGTTGACTTATTGACAGAATTCTGTAGGGATAAATTCAGTGTGTCTTCATCGTCTGATAATGATGATTCTTTCACAAATTGTTCAATACTTTCAATGATAATATTCTAGGTAAGTAAAAAAGGTATACATTACTATGGATTATTTTAGTAATCATAATTCTCGTCTTAAAGTTCAAATAACAAACCAATGAATAGAAAAATACCATTGGTTTAATAGAATATGCGGTATAATTTAATTCAGTAGTACAGAGGCAATATTTTGCGAATGAGTTAACGATCTATAATGTACGCCCTTCGAGGGGTGAAGCTCTACCATAGTTCACCGTGGAGACCAAATTATTCGGATCATAGTATATGATCTGCCGGATACCATGAATGGTAATCAAGAAGGCAAGCGTATTTACTCGAAACCATATACTACTGATTGATTGGTATGAGTAGTTGTGTATCAGTCATATCAACCTGTAGTGCTTCTTAGCCAGTTTGAGGTGACCGAAATGACGGATGACATTTCGTTCTTTTGGAGCCCAGCTCATCTACGGTGTGCCTGGTTTAACTCAACTCATAGAATTGAATCAGTTTAGATTACACGATTTCAGGCTAGATACCTGGGCGAATTTTTCATACCATAAATTAGATTCACAACCTGCAACAGATGCTTTGATGATGCCTTTAAGGCTGATTTGATGGAACACGGTTAGTAGTGGCCGGTAGTGGAATCCATGAAGCGTGTTTCGCACAAGTGTGACTTATCATTTGGATAAATACTTCATTGAGTACAGTTAACATCTGTTTCTCCTGTTCATTGAAATATGGTGGTTTAATTGTAGTATGAAAATTGTAAAATTTAAATATATCAAATCTTAATCCATATGGATTTGACAGCCAACTTTCCCAAATAGTGCTTCCCAATTACCGGTGATATCATCCATTGTAACATTATTCTCATTGAGTACACAACCTTCATGAAACACGGATTTCTACTTTGCTACAGAGAAAAAGACAGTGCTTCTCTGTCATAGTTCTTATTTGTGTGTTTATGTGCTGGCTGATTAGACATCACTTTCGGGTGACCAACACGTAGTACAAAATTATCACAGTGCACAACATACTGGAAGTAATCATGATACCTTTTTTCTGTTAGTTACTTCTGCTGCATTCTAGGTGTGTGTGTGTGTGTGTGTGTGTGTGTGAAAGAGGGAGATTTCCATTAATATTTCAGTAACATTTAGACTCAATTTCCCATCAAATACATTTAATGATGAGAGAGAATAACAGATTCAACTATTTATTCATTCATTTATTTGCCTTGATTCGACTTGTTTCTTACTCCGACCTTTTGAATGTATTCAAAGCTAATCAATCAACCATCATACACATACGCATACCCACCCACCCACACACACACACACAACACACACACACAGAGGAAAATCTTGTGAAAACATGACTTTCTCTGACTAGTTTATTTATCTATCTTCTTTAACTTATTTACTTGTCCATTTATTCGCTTATTCTTCACTTATTTATTTATCTATCAGTGAAGGAGTTTGGGTTTAATATGGTGCGCCTTCAGGTGCGTGTGCATGTTTATAAGAAGAATATGAGGAAAAGAGAGGAAGAGAGAGGATAAGGGGGCTGTTATGCGAGTCCAAAAGGTTGGTGATAAAAAAGCCTATCTCTTAACACTTTTGATAAATCGCTTATTTCATTTATCCCATTTCTTCGTTTCTTTTGTTCCCTCCTCTGAACACATTTATTTACACATGCTTACAACCTTCTTCTGTTGTATCTCTTCGTGTATATTCATACACTGGTCGCTAAACTGGAAGACGTAGTCATTTGATGACCACTTATTATTCCGTAACAATAATTCTCTTCTTTTCTCTACGTGTTGCTATTGTTGATGATTGTTTCAACATTAAAGGGTTGATACTCTCCTTTCTTTCTTCCCTCCCTCCCCTCTCTCTCTCTCCTACATTCTTCTTTTTTAATAGAGAGAAAAAGCAGTTTTCCACCAAAAATATCAAGAAAAAAAGAAACCAAATAGTAACAATACTAGTGTTAATAATAATAATAACATCGAAATCAACACCTAAAAGAAAGTGTGAATAAAACTATAAACAAACTTGCCACAGAACGATATTCTACCAAAACATTTTCCACACATTATCTGACGGTTAATCATCATAATTAATAAGTCATATAAATAAATAAATATATATATTTAGCTGTTTTTCTTTATGTGTATGTTTGTGCATGGGAGGATGGATGTACACGTTTGCGTTATGCGCATAGATATATCAAATACACCGTTATTGTCTAGAGTTCATCTGTATAATTTATCAACATCAGACTATATATATATATTTTTTTTCGAATTATTCATAAAAACAAGTATTGTTTATTATTGTATTTACGAATTTATTTATTTGAATAGGTGAGATTAAATATTTTTTCTTAAAAAACAAACTGATATATTAAGCCATATTACTACTACTACTAATATTATTATTATTATCATCATTAATAAATATTACTTATATTTATGTGCTTAATTGGAAAGTTCAACTGGACGGTAACACTTACATATATATATATATATAATTCCAACAGTGAATCAATAATAGGTAAACAGATTACCATCACAACTGTAGCATACCACATGTATTAGAAAGCAAAAACAAACAAATAATTACTGTGCACATTAATGACAAGCATTTCAGATCGAGATCTAATCAAGTTGGACTGTTGGCCAAGGAAATGTATATTTGAGCTTTTAAAAATATTTGAAATCAATACGGGGTGGTGGTGAGGGGATGGCAAGCTCTAGACTTGGGTTTGTTGTCAATTACCAGAAACGCATACCTACAATATCAAAGGAAGTATTGACAACACCTAGGCAACTGAAACCTGGGTCATTCAATGCTGCATTGAGAGACAACAGTATTAAGTTGTTCTAGACCTAAGTAACCTTCTGTAGAACTGTAATGATTATATTTATTGGTTATTGAGAATACCTGAGATCATGTCTCTATTCCTTAGTGTTGGTACTGATTGGATTGTGTCAGTATTTCCACTTGTATCGCTACACTAAAGTTATCTTGAAAAAAAAACTATTAGATCAAGACGGTGAGAATACTACACTAATAATCTAAGGCTTTTAATATTAATATTTCCTTTCTATGTTGTTTATTTATTGAGAAATAGAAGTGGAATAAGGAGCATGTTAGGTTAGTGCATAGAAATCCTAGTAATTGATACGTTTATTCCAGTGCATTTTAAAGATAGAGGCCTTCATATCAAACAATATATCTATAAACATCTACTAAAGTGACTTATCGAGCGTTGGTAGCACAATGGTAAGATGCTTGTCAACCATGCAGGTGGTTCGGGGTTCGGTCCCCGTCCGAAGTCATCAGCAAGTGGTCAGTTCATCGATTACTGGGATGGTTAGTATGTCACAGTGACTACATAACAGCAGCTAATCCTCTAATTACTTACGTCTAACTACATGAGTGGTTCTCAATCAACTAGCTTTTTTTTTAATTTATTTATTAAATCTAAAATATCATAGGGAAATATCAAAACAGAAAAGGATAGGAACTCAATAAATTATGATGGTGTGTGGGAGGGGAAGAGGTAATCATGATTAGCTAGTCTAAACATAGACTGTCAACTTTCATGAACAGAGTTGCCTTCACTCAGTGTCGAAGATCAGATGACTGACCGGTCGGTCAGAAAGTATAAGCAACAAGGAACTTTGGCAGTGCAGCGCACCAACTAAGAAATTATTGTGCAACAAATATGAAGAAGAAAACGGAGATGGATTGAACATACGCGGAGAATGCCGTCAGACCGTAAGCCACACCCTTGAAAGGGACTCAAAAGGGAGACAATGAGCTGGTAATGAGTCTGAGGGTGACATAAAGGTGATCGTATGAATAGGGAATGTAAGCTTGTGTAATGGAGATGTATTGCTGCTGAAACTGTGTGTTACAATAGCAACGCAAAGGAATAATGATAATAATAATAATTTTAACCATAGTCATTGTCTTGGTGTGTGTCTTTCTATTATTTCATTTGTTATTCAATTAGTTAATTAATTAGTCAGTTAATTATTGCGACACCTCTTGCCACTGTACAAAAGAAGGAAGAAAAATTGAAGTGGAAAAGTTGTTTGTAACCATTATAACTTGATCATATATATACCATAAATAGCTGCATTATTTATATGATAGTAATAATAAGTAGAAAGAAGAGAACACGAAGTTCAGCAAAGATATCTTTTCGGCGATTTCATTCCTTAGAGCTGTTAAATCGCATTTATATAGATTATTTCACATGGATACAATTTCATTTCAAGCTCAAATTATTATTTCAAATTTTCAGTTATAAAAACAGTTATTTTAAGTTTGTTTCCATGCTCCTCCTCCTCCTGATCACACTTGTAATCGGTTTAGAATAACCATTTTACAACTATATTCTAATCCTGTGTAATTTTTTGTTACTATGCCTCTTGTAATCTATATTCACACCTCATAACTAACATTTCAAGTTGAAAATTTTGATTTCAATTTGTTTCCATGCTCATTTTGTTCACACTTGTAATTCGTTCTATCCCTGCGTTTCTAAGCCTCTTGTAATTCATATTAGGTTGAAAATAATTGTCACATTTTATTCGTCTTTAGAATTATTTCTCCAGTTATCAAATATAAATTTTGCATACGTTGTAACTATTTTCTAATCGTATGCAATCTTGTCTCTAAGCCCCCTGTAATCTATATTCGTACCTTCAAACTTTCACATCAAGTTGAAAATTATTATCACCTTCGTTACTATGTGGAATTAAACAAATAATAATAATTGTAACCATGTGAACTAATCTATATAAATGCGATTGTAAAGCTTTTGAGAATGAAATCGCCGAAAAGGTATCTTTGCTGAACTTCGTGTTCTCTTCTTTCTAATGTCCATATGAGTAATAATAATAATAATTGTGTGAATATGCAATCAGCGATTTAATTTCACCTATCCATAAGTAATGCACCGATTTGCAGTTGATTACAACCATTCTTTATGTACTAGTTACACAAAGGAGTAAA